AATATAAACTGCATTCACACTCAGCTGTAAATAGGTATTACTAATGCATGAACCAAATGCTAATGTAGACCCTAGTAGGATGATCCTTCGGAATTCAATATCGATTGTGCGTTGCAACTGCGTAGGAGGTCATAGCCTATTATCAAATCCCATGACAAACCATAAACTACTAAACAAGGATGCCACATGCGATCATGCTTACCTTAACACAATACTAACAGGTCGCACGCCACTTTCATGCGAGACCCACTGGCCGTTTGGACGTTTAGGTGGGAGTTGGCAGTTTTAGCTATATCATTAAATTGTTAGCTGGGTAGCAATATGCGAGCTGCGCCTGTGTCTACCAAGCCGACGAGAGTTCTGTCATGAAATTTACCTAGAACAGTGGGCAATTGCTTGGCTATATATGGACAGTCGGATGCCTGCATAACATTAGGTACCAAAGAGGCAAACTCACCAATTTCTTCTGGGATGCAAGAGTTCGTCCAGCCCACCCTTGGATGTGATTGGTTCGGGGTTTGTCTTGCTTTAGGGTTGTTCGGGAAATTGTCGAAACCTCCACTGAATGAGTTTAGGTTGTTTCGCGAGATGCTCACAAGGTATCGCCGATTCTTGATATTGTGACGGAGTGTAGGGCCCTGCTGTTGATCATCGGTTCTTACGAGGCTTAATTAGAGCCTCCTTCTGTTTGGCTACCTGCAAGGCCTCCACGGGCGATGTAAGGTTACTTTCAAAGACTTGTTGTCATCAAAGTCTCATAAACCGTTAATGCCCAGCTCTCGCTACGCTCGGGCCCACGCTGTTCTTAGAAGATTTCTGAGAAACGCTTAGTAACAACGGACGAAAAAACCAGAACACCAATTGTTGACTTGAGTATTATGTATTGTTACACCAGCATATAAATCAAGTATCACTAAGCAAACTAAGAAAACTAAGGTCTGTAAACAAATATTACAATAATAAATCGTTATGTTACTTCTGACGATGTTTCAATCTTCTTTCTGAACAGCGACCGATGAGACGATGACTGTCGTATTGATGCCTCCGCGAAAATCGAGGAAGTTGATTTTGAGCAAACAACCAAGAATTGATCGTTCAATCTTCAACTCCATTGACACTCCCCGGCAAAAAAGGGATCCAACCCTTTTTTCCTTCACGACCAATGCACGTCGACTTGGATGCCATTGCGAGAACCTGGGTCACACGGACAGAGCTGAAATGGAAAACAAACAGAAAAGCCAACACACCACAAGCATACCCACAGCACAATCTCACACATCAATGACGACCTGCGCCTCCAGACAGAGACCTCCTCTTGACATCTTGCAACACAATCGCCACTTACTAGAATGACTCTTGCAGAATGCAACGTGACCATAGCAGCACCTCATGATACTCTTCAAGCATCCTCTTTTCTATTCACTATCAATTATCACTGAAATCGCTTGTCACTCATTCTGCCTCAGTTCTAGTAGCGGTGACGCATGCGAGCCTCAGTCGTTTACACTCTTTCTCCCCGGCGTGTCGGACCGCAGCTAACAATTATCTCCGTGTGCATTTCATTCTCAGCAATAGCCTAGCGTCCCCGGCGTATACGACCCATCTGCTGTCCTTAACATCAATCAATTCATTCACGGATGTAGAAGAGTGGCCACAACTTCAGAAGTAATCACGACGAAAATTTTAACAAAATTATGCAATAACAACAAGGTACGAAAACAACGAGTAAACACAATGAATCCAAAAACACCAATTGATATGACACACCACACGTATATACAAACAGTACACACAAACTCGCATTTCATGTCTTGATGGAATTCCTTTGAAGAATTGCAGGACTTACACCAGTACGCCTACAACCCTTCACAGGTTGACGATTGTAAGTTGTGGAATGTCCAGACACAAACAAGATTAACCAACAATTACATCAATTGGAACTCACACAACTATTTAACACAAACATATGTACAATCAACACATCAAATGTTGTGGATTCTGACACGACAAACTACCCTTGAAGAACTGTAGGACTTACAGCAGTACGCCTACATTCCTTCTCAGGTTGATGATCCAAGTGGAAGTCGTCCGGACACAAACAGAATTACCAACAGCTAGATGAAAGATGATATCAATTCAGTATATACAATATGAACATATGTACAAGATCATACACCAAGCACATTGGACTGCTCATTGATGCGCTACCCTTTGAAGAACTGTAGGACTTACAGCAGTACGCCTACAACCCTTCTCAGGTTGACGCCCTAGGTTGGAAAATCGTCGCAGAGTTCATTTGCTAACTTCCTTCTATCAGCTATATCCTCAAATCTGAACGGCAACACGCCCATGTCATTGTATCGTAGAATATAGATGACCAACAAACACACGACATATCTCATCAACCAAGTATAGAAACAGAGTAATTTACACCAAAGATAATAACATTCAAATAGTAACTTGAAACTAGAAATGCCTTTATTCGTGCAAGTCAATTTAACAATAACTCTCTCGTTTACACTTGGCTTATTCTCACTAAACTGAGCAATATCTTTCGTCTTTTCAAACGCACGAATACTATCATAGTCATTGCACAAGATACTTGAGTTGATGGGTGTCTTTTTCATTGTGGATGACAGCACCAACGACGACTGATTGATATCAGTTGATGAAGTTAGCGGTGGATCAAAAGCTGTTGTTGCTCGCTTTTCAGAAATTTGTCTACCTGCAAGACCACCACCACTGCTGTCTTTTACTATCAGCTCAGGTTTAGCACTAGCATCTGATGATAGGTGGGCTACATGCTGATCAATTACACTGACTGTCTCACAAGTATGCACACCTTCTGGAACTGCATCTGCGTTCAATTCTACTTCACGTTGTAGTTGTACAGAACCTTTATTTAACTTAGCAGTAGTAGGCATATCCCTCATCTCATAATGATCAACCAAAGACAAATCTGCACTATCATGATCATTACCACAAATATTCAATTTACCGTCAAGTTCATCATTTTCAAACTCTTTAATAACAGAAGTAGACAATTTTGGTTCCTCCTCAAAATTCATTAAAGGTTTTATAACTTCACTCTGACTAGTTATACTTTGTAAACTTGTGGAGTCAGAACTCCACTCTGAAGCAGTAACTCTATTCTGTGACACTCTATTCAACAACGGCTTACCAGTTGCAACTACAGACTTCTTCACAACACCGTTATCGTCACACAATTCGGAGTCAGACCTGGAGTTTACATTTAGCTTATCACTGAACTTGCTCACTGGTTCACAGTTCACTTCTGTATGCACCTCTTGCACACGTGTAAAACAAACCGTGTTTGTCTTGCATCTTGTAACTTATCTGTTGAGGATGTACTACGAAACCTGTTACACTCACTAGGTCTATATGCATTACTAGACATCATGGAGTCTTCTCGATATCCACCTCTCTGAGGCCTATTCGTCATCAATGAGTGCGTTTTACCCTCAGACTGCTCTATTCTATGGGTGAGATCTAACAGACTGGCGAACTTGCTCATAGATTGATTGACACTAGTATTTACCAGTTTCAGGATATCATCAAACTTTGGCTCGATACCCTCATCCTCCATACGGGAGCTTATCTTCACCCACTTCCTTTGCAGTCGGGTAGGTAGACGTCTTGCTATTACTTCTAGTATAAAACTCGAGTTGAGGTCACTCATTCGATTCATCGAAATCATTCCATTCTTGTAAATTAGCAAATTATCTAAAAACTCAGTGAGTGCCTGGGAGTCATCCTGTAATTGACCACCATTACCCTCAACAGCCTCGAATAATTTCCCTGCAATCATCGAAGGTCTTCCAAACCTTTGACGTAATATGCTCATAGCCTCATCGTAGCCCTCTTTGGCTTCATAAACTTACAACACTGTATAGCTCTTGCAGCATCTCCAGTGCAATATCTCATCAAATACATTAACTTCAATTCATCATTTAATAAAAAACCACTCAACATGATCTCAAACTCCTTTACAAATTGTAAATAATCAGCCGGGTTTCCATCAAAACATCGTGGTTCTAATTTAGGGAGTTTGATGTTCCTATTATCCCTGAACGGCGAAACAGTAACATCAACCATGTCATACTTAACATCAGACACATCGTTACAATTAACAGACAAGTCACCATGACTTACTTTCCTGTTTGCATCCAAGACACTCTGTCCCTTCTTTGACCCAGGCATTGTTGAACTTGACCCAATTCCAAAAAAGTTCCAGATATTGCTTGTTCAAAGAGGACTTGACCGGCACCAGGAAAAAAGAACGGCGACTATCCAAACTTTCACCAACTGTTTGAATCCGCCAGATCTGTTTCTATCGTCAGAAACTGTCATCAAAGTCTCATAAACCGTTAATGCCCAGCTCTCGCTACGCTCGGGCCCACGCTGTTCTTAGAAGATTTCTGAGAAACGCTTAGTAACAACGGACGAAAAAACCAGAACACCAATTGTTGACTTGAGTATTATGTATTGTTACACCAGCATATAAATCAAGTATCACTAAGCAAACTAAGAAAACTAAGGTCTGTAAACAAATATTACAATAATAAATCGTTATGTTACTTCTGACGATGTTTCAATCTTCTTTCTGAACAGCGACCGATGAGACGATGACTGTCGTATTGATGCCTCCGCGAAAATCGAGGAAGTTGATTTTGAGCAAACAACCAAGAATTGATCGTTCAATCTTCAACTCCATTGACACTTGTTCTCACCCTTCTTCGAAGTGATGAAGAATGCAGGAGCTAATCTCTGTTGCTGGGTCACGGGAGCCAACTCTTGGAGGTGCCAAAGGAATTAATCTATAAAGTTATATTTGTAAAATCTCGGCGAAATTGAAATGATTAATTCCAACGTTTCGTTCGGCAATCTGTTCCGAACTTCTTCAGGGAAATTAATCGAAATTAACATAACAAAGAATTATATATAAAGAGAACCTCTTGTTTTTTAAAATTTTGTCCAATCATGAGTCATGCAACAGGTATCAACATGTATAATAAATGAATAAATAGAATTGTATGTTTATATATAAAAGTACATCTCTTGTTTTAAATATGAATCAAGAAACAGCTATCAATAAGTATATATATTTACATATATTTTGACAAGAGTAGACAAATTTTGGAAGTCTGAGGTCAAGAATTTTTTGATCACAGTTCATACAATTTTAGTTTTGTTTTGTTTAGTGGAAGGCAGCCAGCTGCCCGAGAACATGGGTATGCGGCACAAATGCTCGACGCATGGCTGTGAATAGCTCCTCAACTCCCATCGTCAGGTCGATGTCAACGCCAGCTAGCTTGAGGCATTTCAGTGCGGGTATTGACAACAAACAGATAATAGCGCTAGCTCTATGGTCTTGGTCAAACTGCTCTATGTAGCGGCGATATTGTTCCTCCCACAATGTGAACGATTTCCGCGGAACAAACTTTTCTAGTGCAAGGAATTTAACCTTAGGTTTGGTACTGGAGGACGGTGCTAGCGTAAAATTCGTCATTAACGCTATTCGGAATGCTGAGACCATCGCTTGAATCATGTCTGGAGCAGGCGTGGAGGTCGATATTGTTGGTGGGGTTGATGACATCTCCGGTGGCGCTCTGAAACTACCTTCCTGATCACGGGTGTTGGCATTATCAGGAGATTCCAAGTTATTCATTTCTCTCTTTGGTTTACAAGAGTTTCACAGGCTCACCATGTTCTATAACAGAGCAACACAAACAATAATAAATGTCAAGCACTCTGGGCAAGACGAGGAAAGCAGAACATGACTCGAAGTGAAACACTGCATAATTATCAACCGAATTAATAGCAGCAAGTCTAAGATATATATATACATATATATAGGGTGAGGATATACGTTATAACCTTTTATATTTTCCGCGACTCAGGTTTTCTCGTCTTTCATTGGTTACAATGGTGGCGGTCAATTGGATATTTGATTTGTCCTTAGTAGGTCGTATCGTGTGAGGTTTTGTGTGGTTGTGTTATGCGTCGTTTGCAAGCAACTTTGACAAACATAGATGTAATATTTGAGTATTCTAACATTGTTTCACTGTTTTTTTACACAGACACACTTCTCTTTTCGCTACAAACTCCCTCGATACTGGTCAGGCATTATGGTTTCTATCAGTGACTACCATCCCGTGGGTACCAATGCATTTCATGAGTCGTGGTTATAGGTATAGTTTTTCCTACTTCGATATTTTTCATTCACATAGTCTGGTATACTGTGTTTCTTGCGACTTTACTGTGACAAGCTCTGGCAATAATGCGCTTCGTTAACGAGCCCTTTTTCTAGAATTTCATCGCAGGTAATCAGTGTGAGCGGAAGCAGCACATATTTAAGAAGCTACGAACGCATTAGAAAACTTTCAGAAGGCGTGTACCTTATACATTGCTAACAGTAAGGGACTTTTCCACACACCTGTATGTGGATACGTTCACATGCGGAGAGGAAATCCACGAGTGAGACATAGTATAGTAGTGAGACAGCTTTGTGTGACTTTTATCTAGCCTGTATGTTTCGCTCCAGTATTTTTGTCCCTCAGAACACTAACAAGGTATTATCAAATATATTCTTGTAGTGTGATTCGACGGCACAATTACTGGCAGTTAATGATGTTATGTATGCGTAATGTTCATGATATTTCCTGCACCATTAACGTGCTCCACATTTCAAAAAGAGTGTAAATTAGGAAGACTGAACTTAACTTATAATTAACTCAAATATGTTCATGCATGTTAATTATGTAAATGCTTCATTTATTCATTAAAGGAGGGAGGGTGGTGCTAGCTGATCAGTAGATATGGTGGGGGTCACTAAGGTGAATCACTCCATTCTGCAGGAACAGCAATACGCAATTTGAAGGCTCGAGATATTTCTGAATTTTATGAGGGCTTACATCTTTATCTTGAAAAAGATAAAAATGAACGCCTAGACAGATCATGCTTCTACCTTTAAATATATACCATTCACTCAGCCTATTGTTGAGATGTGACCATGTGGGCTCTGCACAGATTTATGGGGCATCTTATAAACTAACTTGCTGTCCATTGTCGGATCTTTAAATACCACTTCACAATGTCTTATCTCATTCATTTTCTAATAACGTCTTTACTTGATCCTCATTATATTCCATTAAACCTAACATTTCATAGCTCTATATGAATTTGATTCGACTTATTCTATTCCTATTCTCTGTAGGGTATGGTTGTGCACCAAATGCATAAAAAGGCACACAATAAAAATAAACCGGCATGAGGAAAAATGTATTAAAACCAAAAGTGGGCACCATGATAGTTCAAACTGTACAGGAAGCATTATACATTGCAAATGAACGTTGTCAGCCTATGGAGTTTCCTTTATTAATGCATTTATTAGTGATACTTGCAGTTACCCATTTCATTACACTTTATTGATTCACCTTAGCACTTTTACTTTTCTAAAACAGCTTCCAATCTCTTGTAAACGTTGTACTTACCTCAATATTGGTTGGTTATCGTATGCCTACAACCACGGGATGAAAACGAAACGAAGTCGATTTTACCGCTCAACCTGGAGGACAATTGTACAATTCAATAACTATACAGCCTAGTTCAGACAATGTGCATTTATATATATATCAAATATTTAACAGTTGAAATATGATTAACTTGTAGACAATCTGAGATTTGAGACTGTATCTTACTTGATCGTGCCTGTAAAAATGGCATGCATTTTCATGTAAATTTATATGTTTATATGAGAATATACATTATTATTATTCTGCAAGATAATTTAGTCTGTATCACTTTTAGGAATGATGGGTCGCGATGAGGTCTGTCAGTTAAGTGAATTCAGTGGTTATAGACTCTATCATCACACGAACAACTACATGTACTACAGTCGGATGAAGCGCAAATGACCCATTAAAACAAAGCGCAAAGTGGTATACCAAGTACAAAATTAGTTTTTACAGACGTAACATTAAAGACAACAGATATTCTATACGTAATCTCCTATTTTTCACGTGACTGGTGTGCCGCTACTTCCAGTGCCCAGTTATGCACAGTTTTCTAGGTCTAAAAGGAGTTTATTGAAAACAGTTTCCCGTGCCCTAATGTGTTTTAAACTTTACCGTGTCAACCTTTATTATATAACTTTCGATCAGGATACTCTGCTGCATATCTTTACTTAAAAATACTACATTTACTGGGTATTTACCACAAAAACTAGAACCATTTTGTAACGTTAATTTGCGGAAACCCCAAGAATGAGCATTAGTCCACTATATGTGTGTCAGCAAACACAATTGAAAAGGCCCTAGTACTCGTATATTTTTCACTACGTTGAGTGAAAGTGTTTACTGTTAAGGCAAGCATTTCATCTAGAGGAAAATACCCGTCGATGTTCTTTCGAATCTGCCTACGCCCCAACCAACCGTAGTTCGGGCGGAATAGAGCGTGAGTTCCATCAAAAGTGGGTTGGTGGCACCTATGGAGTCTCCTACCACAGAGCCAACAACGGTGGTTGTCTCCTACAGTTCTGTCCGGATAGTTATCTGCTCCTGTTCAGCACTAAATTCAAACACAAAGGGAGACATTGTCTAGCCTGGCGACCTCTATCTTCAAATCAGCGATAGGCTCATATAGACCGAATAAAGATAAGCTTTCGTTGGTGGAAGTCGGTAGAAGACTGCTACTTTGGAACACGTGAGTAGACACTGACCACACCCTGACCGGTGCATGATTAGTCTTACGAATGGACGGACATAAAAGACTGATGGCAGTGAAGATGTTACACCCCCAACTTGATCAGGACACAGTCCCTATTTACGGAAATAGGTAAACGCGTACCTCAGATCTAATGCAAGACCCATCCTGAGGAAGCCTGGCATAATATCCAGCCAGTTATAGATACAACGGTAAAGGCCGTTGGTAACCTAGACCCAAAGGTTAGAATATGCCAATGGATTTCTGCTGTTTCATCCGAACTGAGACGCCGGAAGACTGATCTCAGTAGGCTCAGAATATGATGAGGAGAGAAAACTACTTAGGCGCAAACTGACAAGAAGTTTTCGGAGCGACCGTTGACAGCGATGGACGACAAAAGCGAGAAAGATGGAAAAGGCATCGGAGATAGGTAACACCAGACACTGACCAGGTAAACATGTGGTGAGACAATCTCTGAGAAAAGTGACGCTATAATTAGCTCCCGGGATAGACGACTGGGACGTTGAAAGGGACATTTCGATGAACAATTCAACTGGCCTACAGCTACGCTCAACCTACCCAACATCCAATATCTACTTGAACAGGATGTGGACATCGGTCCTCCGTCTGCAATTTAGGTTACAAAGGCTGTCCCTAATCTGGGGCGAAGCAAAGCAGCAGAACTTGATGGAGTAACTCAGGTGTTTAAAGACGATGGTGGCAAACTGCTGTCTGGGTTAACTAAGGTATTAGGCAATGTCTGGGAATCAGAGATAATCCCGTTAGACTGGTATGTCATTGACTGCTCCAGTATATAAGAAGAGGGACAAGTCTTCCAGGGATAATTATAAGGGGATTAGCTTGATTAAGTGGCGCTTGGGAGAAACAGATGCGAGAAAACCAGACAGATTTTAGACCAGGGAGGGATACTGACCATGCATTCACTCTTCAACAGGTTTGGGACCATAGGCGTATCGGCATCCAACAACTGTCATATTTCTTGACCTGAAGGAAGATTCAAACTTTTTCAACCGAGAGGTACTATGGCCAGGTCTGACCGTGAAGGTAATGCCGTCAGAGTACATCGCGCTGATCAAGGCACTCCAATCGAGCTCACGCAGACGTGTAACAGTTTATGAAGTTACCACCTGAAGTGATGGCAACCAGTGGTGTCCATCGGGGAAGCCCACTGTTCCAGTTTCTCCTTAATTTCATCATAGATGACGCCAACTTCAGTGACTTAGGGACTGACCCGTTTCCAAGACATAGTCTTGTTGACTTGGACTGAGGATGATATAGTCCTTCTGGGTGTAGACTGATAAAGTGCAGCCTTCTGAACACCTTAAGCAGCAATCTTCGAATATTTGGCATACGATTTATTCATGTGAAATGTAAGATGTTGAAAGAGTGGAACAAAGACTCTTGGCCCAAAGACATGGAGCTGTACCAGTCACAAGGGACTGATTGCTGATATAGCCTCCGCAAGGATACAAAAGGCACTTGCCGAATTACGTCATCTGTGGCATAGACGTAACATTGGGCTATTGACTAAAGCATGTGTGTACTGTTCGGCAATTCGCTCCGCTGAGAGAAATGACCATTTTAAATGGAGGATATGAAAAGATGGTCTGTCTTTGACCAGGGTGTCTCCGTCATATCTCTCCTGTTAGGTGGTATAATAAGGTGAGCAATATTGAGTTTAGGCGTCAAGTCTTGGGTAAGGAGAAGTCAGTTGATGAGGTTGTGAAGCTACATCGACTCAGATGGCCAGGAGATGTGTTACGCATGCGTTCCTCGATGGGCAATGTTAGCTGACATAGGATGGATCAGGTTGGAAAAGAGCTAGTGGTGATCAAGCCAAAACTTGAGATCAGTCCACGGAATCCTTGACAGCTGGGTCGAGCCACATGGTGAGGTGTAGACTGCCTCGTTGAGGTCATTGAGATCCTGAGAACCAGTGGCTGGGGACAACCGGTGATATGGCTCAAATCGTTCTCGCCG